CACTCTTTCTCTTTTTCAGATAGTCACTGAGCAGCAGATGGGTCAAAAAATCCAGATAGTGACGGCACTGGACTCCACTGTGCCCAAACAGCAGTTTATCCTGGCAGCACCTGATGGCTCTTCAGCAGGCAAAGTCCTCCTGGCATCACCTGAGGGTACTAGTGCCAAACAGCTTATCTTTGCCACTGCTGATAGCCTGGTGCCTGGCCGAATTCAGGTATGATGTCACATGAATGCATTGGTGTTTCTTCAACCATGGGCACATTTGTGTCTCAGAGAATTTTTGTATATTATTTTTCAGTACATGCACTTACGTGTAGTTATAGTGTAGCTTATCCAGGACACTGGGGAATATAAACTATAATTATAATTTATAATAATTTATGCATTTAGCAGACGCTTTTATCCAAAGCGACTTACAGTGCATTCAGGCTATACATTTTTTACCAGTATGTGTGTTCCCTGGGAATTGAACCCACGACCTTTTGCGCTGCTAACGCAATGCTCTACCACTGAGCCACAGGAACACTAACTACATGGGTTAAGGTTAGGTTTAGGGGTAGGTTCAGGGTTAGTACCTAGTTATTCCCCAATTATTGTAATTACTATAATAAGTACAGATTTCAGCTTTAGATCACATTAAAACCATTTTGGTAACTTTTTGGCAATTATTTTAACCCCGTCTTCATTTATTTATGCTACTTTCCAGATGCCTTTTATGTTTAGATTTTATTGTTGTACTCTTGTCCCAGACCCTGAATTTCAATCTTAAAACATTAAAATCCCTTATAAATAGTAGAATTATTACTTCCAGGGTGCAATTTGCAGATTTTCACTGCCTATGCTGTTGATATCCCAGATTCTAGTAATTTTTCATCCCCAGACAGGAAACATTTTATACCCGATTCTGGTCAGGCGGTATGCATTTGCCGTTTCCGAGAGTAGATGATGTTTTCTTACCGGCATATTAACACCGGAATATTAACAGATTCTACCACATGTAACAGTAAGTAATTGGATGAATATTATATTATAATTTTAGGTCCACAATGTTTTATTTAAATAAATCAAAATGCTAATTGTGACTTTTTATCTTGCAATTCTGAGTTTATATCACGATTCTGACTTTTCTTCTCAGTTTTGTGAGTTTATATCTCACAATTCTGAGTTTATATCTTGTAATTCTGAGAAACCTCGCTTTTAAGAAACGCTTAAGTCTTAAGAAAATCCTACGAAACCTTGCTCCATGTGAGAGAAAACACTGGTTTATAAAACAGGGAAACTGGTTGCCGTTACTTCTTTCACAAGAAGTCTATGATGTTATATTAAATATCTGTATGGTGAAACAAATTAGTGGACCAGAACTAACTGTTGTGAAAATGGTTTATATTTTAAATAACCATGTGCTAATGCCTGTTGTTGGATAGTCCAGTAAATTTACATTTTTTTAAATTATTTTCTTGTTGATGGTCACAAAGCAAAAGTCGGTTATTCGTAATTGAATTAAAATTCTGGCATCAGTGAATAACAGTCACATTATGTTTTTTTCGTATTACTACATGTTTCATTTTCATGTGAAAATAGAGTAAAATCTCTATTAGATGATGCATTTTTACTGTATTTTATAGTAGCCTATATATACTGTCATACTACCTGTGAATTAGATAATTACTTTTATACGTGGCATCATCATCATCTGTGCCATGGTTTGATCTGTGGGCATGTAATTGTGCTATAAAAATTCTAACCCTGAATGCCAAGTAATTAATCCTTCTGCCTTTTCTGGTAGTTTGTAACAGATGCAGTTTCAGTGGAGAGACTTCTGGGTAAAGGGGCAGACATGAGCCGAGCGCAGCCAATAGAATACTGCGTGGTGTGTGGAGATAAAGCTTCAGGTATAAACGCATTCAATGTGAATAATGCCAGTGCATGCAAAGCAGCATTACATAATAATGTAGTTAAGTTAAGTATTGCATGCTGAAATAGCAAAACATGCCTGAAATCACCAGGACTGCATTTCTTAAAAGCATTGTAAGCCAAGGTAGATTGTAAAGACCATTGGTGCCAATGGTTTCAGTTATGTACTTAACAGCCCAGGCCAGCTCTAATCTAATTGGCTGGCTGTTTCCAGTTTCCAGGCCGCCGCAAAGAGCATTTCACTAATCACTAGATTTGGCAAGTATATGGGGTTCGTATTGGATCTTTGATTCAAGATATTTAAGAGTTTGTTTGAGAAACCTAGTAAACTCCTTGATCTTACTTGTATATTACTCTTTGTTCTCAAATTTATATGTCTGATTTCAGGTTTAAGACATTAAAGAGTTACATCAAGCCTCTGAAGGGTGATGTGAAAACAAAAGGAAATTTGGTTGGTCACTTTTATCGTCAGTAGCTGGTTCGCACTGATAAGATATGTTGGCCCGAGTGTCAGTATGAGGCAGTTGCTGCTGCTGCTGACGATTTAGTTCCAAAACAAGGAAGCCCTATCTGAGGGTTGTCCCCCCTAAAAATATGATAAAAAACCATTCTGTGTATTGTAAATAACAATGTTTTATACTTTAGTAATTGTGTAAGTAGTAAAACAACACAAACGGGGCAAAAATGCGTTTTAAGTCTCCCCCTCCCTTACCTCACAGTGCTTTGGTCCAAATGCCTGCTTTCCTCTTTTACATCACATAGGCTACACTAGGGGTGTTCGGTTCCAGGTTTTTCGGAGTCGACTCCGACTCCCGACTCCCACTATCGGAGTCGATAGAATCGACTTCTCGACTCCATTTACTTTTACTTTACTTTTACTTTTAGTCATTTAGCAGACGCTTTTATCCAAAGCGACTTACAAATAAGAAAAAGTAATTAAAATTAAAAGCTAAAACTCTATAAATACTATATATATATATATACTGTATATATACACATTTAAAAAAATAAAAGAAATTAAATTCCTCGACTCCATTTACCGTGACTGTCCAAATTAGTCCAATCTAGCGGTGACATTACCTTTAAATGAACTATCACCGTTGCTTGCTGTTGCTGACACTTAATTTCACAGAGGGAAAAGTCACGAAAAACAGCCGTGGTGGAATGTTCTCTCAGAATTAAATAAAAAATAATATATTCTTTAATGAATTCGTCACATTATAATGGTCAGGGGATGGCGCTAAACGTAGGCCTATATTGTCTTAAACAGCATTATTAAAAAAATGTATACAATAGGCCTAAATACAAAAATACATACGAATGTAGGCCTGTCTGTCTTTAATGATTTAAGCTTAGTTTAATGACTGAATAACCTTGAAAACCAAATGTAGCCTATAGGCTATTGAGTGCATTAAACATAGGCTAACATTGCATAACAAAACATCAATTATACAAAGCTGTCACAGAAGCATGTATAATTACAAAAAAAAGGCACGAGACAGCTGTTTCTGTCAATGGTAAGTTTTAATTTAAAATTGTGATAGCCTACTAACTTTTAACGTAAGAAAAGTTTACTGTAGGCTGTGTTTACATATTTTGCCACATGCTTGAGCATCTTGATATATAAACTTAATATATAAATAAGTACAGAAGTAAAATGCATTTAATAATATTGCGCTTAAACATGAATGTCTATGAAAGATAGTATTACTGTGTGAAAAGATAATCACTATGCTGAGAGAGAGAAAAAAATAGTAACAACGTTCAAATTTGAAATAAAAATAGGCATCGTAGCACACTAAAGCCTGTGTTATACTTTCCGCGTGCGTGCTGTACGTGTACGCGTCCGGATTGCTCATGCGGAAAGTATAACACAGGCTTAATAAAGCACACTGAGCCCGTGCTGCTTCTGCACCGCATAGGCTAAGAACCGCACATGGACTGCACTGCAAACGGATCCTCCGAGAAGGGTCTGGCTGCAGCCTTGCACTTGCATTATCAGACTTGCATTCTCAGACACTTGCGCTTCCACTAGCGATGTCACTTGCAGTCTTTTATTTTTTTATTTTGTTCTATTTATTGATTACTTTTTGTTTGAATCTCTCAACATTTTACAACAGTAGCCAAGTGGTGAAGACAAGAAAAAAGAAACTTGCGCTTCCGCTAGCGACGTCACTTGCAGTCTTTATTTTTTATTTTGTTCTATTTTTTATTACTTTTTGTTTGAATCCCTCAACATTTTACAACAGTAGCCAAGTGGTGAAGACAAGAAAAAAGAAACTAAATTACAATGTTTCTAAATGTTGCTAAATTACAAGTGGCACTTGCAATCGCCACTTGCACTCTCCGCTACCTGCGACGTCACTTGCAGTCGACACAAATCGTGCATGTTGCCAATGGAGACAAGAAGCTGTGGTGGTGATTAAATGATTAAAACTAAATTAGTACTATAATGTACAGGGTCCTGCAAGAAAAAGACAAGACCTGCAAATCCGTGA